CCACCTCCCATCTCGGAGGGAGATGTGAGTTACGTGCTGCTCGTACAAGACATCTGCACCTGTGTGGGAAAAGGAGTGGTTAAGTCCGTGTCCCAGTGAATTCCAGAGAGAAAATGAAGAGTGGTTTCTCTGGAGCCAGGCTGGGAGAGCTGGGGGTGTTCACCTGGAGAAGAGAAGGCTCCAGAGAGACCTCAGAGCCCCTTTCAGTGCCTAAAGGGGCTCCAGGAGAGCTGGAGAGGGACTGGGGATAAGGGATGGAGGGACAGGACACAGGGAATGGCTTCCCACTAATAGAGGGCAGGATTAGATGGGATATTGGGAAGGAATTCTTCCCTGTGAGGGTGGGGAGGCCCTGGCACAGGTTGCCCAGGGAAGCTGTGGCTGCCTCAGCCCTGCAAGCGTCCAAGGCCAGTTTGGACAGGGCTTGGAGCCACCTGGGCTAGTGGAAGGTGTCCCTGCCCGTGGTCGGGGGTGGAACACCATGAGCTTTGAGGTCCCTTCCAACCCAAAGCATTCTGTGATCCTAAGATTCTATAATTCAGCTCAGTAAACAGAGGGAGAACCCCCCAGCTGCTCCTCTCTTCGCCAGGTTATTTACCCTGGCTTTAGTGAGCTGAACAAATCCAGAGGGAAAGCCAACAAACACAGGAGGTGGCACAGGGTAAGCAATCAAAGCACACCCCCAGGAGCTGAGAAAGACAGCACTGTCCCTGGTAGCAACTGGGTGCAGGGACGCGGTTAATTATTTCCAAGATTAGTGTCTAAAAAACCAGCTAATTAAAAAAAAATTATGATAGCAATCACACAGAAGGACCAAAGCCCGAGTGCTCTTACAACTCGTATTTTTCAAACAAAGGTTAAATTAAGTCTCTGAAATGCACACCTGGTTCTACCACACCTAACGCAGTAGTTATGTGGTTTAAACTAAGTTTAAACCAGCAGGTGATCTCCTCCTCTGGCCTTTTCTAAAGGCTCACATCCTGCATAAGCACAAACTTATCCTCCAAAACACAGGCTACAGTTCACCACTGCGCTCCCAGTTACACTGCAGTCAAGTGCCCACTCAGAAAAAAGCCACCCAAACACTCACTTCATTCCAGCTGCAACTCAAATCTCTTCCTAACCTCCATCTCCCACTAAATTATCTTGTCCTAATCGTGCTAGGCCTGACTTCCACATGCTGAAGTCACCGGTGTAAATACAGGCTTGGCCCCTGAGCCTACAGAAGTTCTATTTATATAGGGATTTTTACATGCCAGGCCTGCAGGACTTGGAAACTCACAGAGCTCCCAGGCATGTTTATCCATCTAAGCAGACTTCCAGGCATACATAAACAAACAAGGAACTTAAAACATCCTCCTCGGAAATTTAAATTCGAAAGACAGTTCAGGAGTGCCGTCATTAAAACCTTCCATTTCACACAAAGGCATCTAAAAAAAAAAAAAAAAAAAAAAGTTACCTGACTGTTTCAAATAATACTTGACAACCGAAGAGATGCCCTGGGGTGCCACATAGTTGCAGGAGCCTTCCCTCACCACCATTCCTTCCACGGGAGCAGTCAGCGGTTTCAAGACGCCGTGAGACAGAAGTTCCTCATAGAAGCTTGAAGGGGAGGGAAAATACACAGAGGTGTAAAACTCCCTCCATTTTTCCACAGTTAAAGTTAAGGCCAGGGCTAACTTTTCGAGTTTAAGCTTTTAGCAGGCTGCGTTTCAAGGGCAGGTAATGCACAAATACAGCTGTAAAACCACCAGCTACCTTGGTATCGTGCTGGGTCCGGCCTTCCACCTGAGAGCAAGGCTGCGTGTAGTGAGACTTACATCGCTGCTACATCTTCCTCGAGGCACAACAAACTATCCTAACTCTTTTACCTCAACCCACGCGAGTTTTCCAAGCTTTTATCCCCCCGTTATCCCTCCGCGATTCCCCTGGCGGGGCACCGAAGGGTTGTTGGGTGGGGTGAAATTAAAGCACGACACCTGTGCCCGCAGCGAGGCCGAGCAGCCCCAAACCCGCTCCCAAACCTCACTTCCCACCTGCGCCGGTAGGGAGATGGGCGGGATGAGCGGGACGGGGGTGGGATGAGGGGGATGGGGGCGGGATGACGGATCGGGATGGGGCGGGTCTCACCTGCGGCGCGGCCCCGCCAGGTCCGTGTCGCAGGTGACGAACTGCGCGCCCAGGTCGGCGCTGCCCAGGTCGCCGCGGGTCGTGCTCATGCGACCCCCTGCGCGACAGCCAGTCAGACACCGACACGACACACGACACGACACATGACACGACACATGACACGACATTACACACACCCTGCCCCGCCGGACCCACCTGCGCCCCGCGCCTTGTCCCAGACGGCCGCGGGTCCCCGCGCCCCCCGCGGCAGCAGCGCCGCGCACGCCCCACCCGTGAGCCCCGCGCCCACCACCAGCACCCGCGACATGGCCCTGCCGCCCAAAGCACCGCCCCCACGGGGCGGGGGAGCAGCGAAGGCACGCCCGGGAGGGCACGGACCCGCCCGCGGGTGGAGCGGGGAGGACGCGGCCGAAAACATCGGGTGTGTGCGCGGACACGCGCGGGTTGAGCTGTACGCGCATCTGTATGCACACACCTGTACGTCCTGTGACACGCACACCTGTACGCACACGCACCTGTATACGCACCCCCCCTTGCGTGCCCACACCCCCCCCCGAACACGCGTGTGCACACGCGTCCCCTCTGCACGCACACGTGCTCACAGAGCTCT